CGCCGCCGCCGCCGCCGCGCTCCCGCCGCGCCCGTCCCCGCGCCGCCCCCGGGGCCCTGCGTCGGGCCCCGCCGCGACCGCCGGCCCGCGTCCGTGCGTCCGTGCGTCCGCCCGTCTACCACGCCCGGTCGGGTGGGGGAAGCTTCGCGAGCGCCTAGCCCGTCTCGCTGCGCCGCGAGACCGACCGCTGGGGGAAGGGATCCGCGTCCGGGAAAGGCAGTATTTTAAACCGCGCGACCGCTGGGAGATCAGAGACGACTCAGTCTCCAGACACTTCACATCATGGGCATCACAGATATTCTGGACGAATGGGATGGCGGAGCCTTCCCTACCAGAAGAACACTCTCTGAAGCATTCCACACTTTACTCAACATACTCCTTCGGGAAGATGAAGTGTCACAAGATGGGCGCATTGCGCCCTTTCTTGAAGCAGGCTACAAAGCCACACTGGACATCATGAGGGTGACAGGCCAGGCAAACCCTCTCGTTCACACAGTCTACAATCTAGCTCAGAACATGGTTGGAGGTGCCATCACGCGCGGACAAGCCTCACACACTGAGAGCGTACAATCTGACCTGACACCTTCTCACCCCTGTGTCGACGGAGACCTTCCCTCAACATCAGGGGCGGCTGACTCTGAGCCTACTACACACTCGCCCCGTCCTAAGCGGGTACATGACGAGGAGGAAGAGGAAGAACCACCCACCATTGAAATCATTGAATCAACAACACGACACTTGAAACGATTCAACATGGACTTTAGAGAGGAAGTTTTTCTCATAAAAAACCTAGGGTGCACACAGAATCTGTACGAACATTGCACGGATTTGTTTGATACCCTGCTCAAGAGGCAAAGAGAAGCGGTGAACGCACAAGATGCTGATGAGTGTATCGTGGAAGTAAGGAGCGAAGATATGGCACACAAACCCGTTTGGTGTTCCTTGAGAAAAACAGCCATGATGACGGGACGTGTTCTTTTAGACAAAATTTCACAAATTTTAAATTCAAATGAAAATTTCCTTACAACTGGAAAACTTTATTTTTCATACATACATGTACCACAACCTCAAGCCGGCGGCTCTGGAAAACGAAACAATGAAGAATTCTCTCACTTCATTACAAGAAAACTTGTGCAAGGATATTCCCTGTTTGATCCTCAAAATACAGAAGATAAAATGTGCCTCGCGCGGTGTGTCGCCGTCGCCATGTTAAGAGGGACAATATCAAAACATGCCTTTAAGCGTCTGAAAAAGTCACATTCAAGAGTTCAGGGAAATGGCACTTGACCTCTGTCAAAAAGCACAAATTGACCCCCAAACAGAATGTGGTATACAAGAGGTGAAACAATTACAAAACTCCCTACCCGAATACAGAATTGTGCTTTTCTCTGATCAATATGGTAATGACATTGTGTTTCACGGTCCTGAATCAGCACGTTCACACCCTAGAAAAAACATTTATCTCTTACTACATGAAGCACACTTCTATGCGATACTGTCTCCTACTGCAGTGTTTGCTTACGCCTATTTCTGTGAAAAGTGTCTTGTGGGTTATTCAAATAAAAATGATCATGCATGCAAGGGGTCTTGTTGGCGTTGTGGTTCTGCAGAAAATCACAACGCTGAAAAGCACACACTTAAACAGTGTAAAGACTGCTGCCGTTTTTTCTCAGGAGATGTCTGTTTCAACTTCCACAAGAGTGAAAAAATTTACAGCCTGAACAAAACAACATGCGAGACGAAGAAATTCTGTCCTAAATGTCAAAAGAGCTATGATTACAAGTCACGGGGAAAGGCAAAAATGCCTGCACACGTTTGTGGTAAAATCAAGTGTACCAAGTGTAATTTGCTTGTACCAGAAAATCTTTTGTGCTACATGCCTCCATGGACACCGCCGCCCCTAGCCAAGAACACAAGAGTCATGCAGGTTTTTTTTCGACATCGAAACGACAACTACATCAATGGACGGTAGAGATAACTGGCTGGAGCATAAGCCCAATGTTCTCGTTGCACAGCAAGTGTGCACCGAGTGTGAGCACGTGAAAGATCTGGAGCATCAGTGCCTAAATTGTGGGGAAAGAGAACATATTTTTGACGATTTGGAAGAAACACCAGGTGAAAATGTTGTAAGTCAGTTTATGACATATCTGCTTTCACTCTGTTCTGAAGAGAAAACTCAGATCCAATGTTTTTCTCATAATGGTCGAGCTTTCGATACAATTTTTATTCTCCAAGAGTGTGTCAAGAGAAAAATGAAACCAGAAATTATTCTGCAGGGTACAAAGATCATCTGCCTGAAGTGTGAAAACTTAATATTTAAAGACAGCCTTCTCTTTATGAATCAGAAACTGGCCCTGTTACCACGCTCTTTCGCTCTCACAGAACACAAAAAAGGATATTTTCCTTTTAAAATGAATCAAAGGAAGTGGTTTTCGTACATAGGACCCATGCCTGATAAAGAATTATACTTTACATCAGGTATGAAATCAGAGGAGAAAGAAGAGTTTGACAAGTGGTACAATAAGCAAGTAGAAAACAACTACATTTTCAACTTCAAACATGAGATTTTAGCTTACTGCAGTTCAGACACCGATATACTCCGCCGAAGTCTGCAGGCCTACAAGGAATCTTTTATGGAAATTGCCGGATTTGATCCGCTGCATCACTGTCTCACACTCTCCTCTGCATGCATGGCTATGTACCGATACAAACATTTACAGCCTTATACAATCGGTCTCATGCCAAAAGGGGGTTATAGAATGGCTGAACTTCAAAGTAAAATAGCGTTGAAATGGCTCAGTTATGAACAGAGTGTTCTGGGTGACACTGCAAAAATTCGAACGTCAGAAAACGGGCGTGAAGTAAGAGTCATGGGCAAACCTGTTGACGGATACACAGAACTACTAAAAGTTGATGGAACGACAGAAAAAATAATTTTTCAGTTCCACGGATGCTACTTTCACATGTGTCCAACATGTTATCCAGACGCCGCTACGCGACGAAGTCTAATGCAAAAGCAGGGTGGTGATAAGTATGACAAAACAATGAGGATCACTGATATGTTTAAAAGAAACAACTATACGGTGCGTGAAATGTGGGAATGCCACTTCAGACATGAATGTGAACACGACCCCAAAATGAGAGAGTACTTTGAAACAAATCCACCGAAAGAAACTCCTGTTCTTAATCTAAGAGACACTTTGTGTGGCGGACGTACCTCTGCACTGCGCACGTACAAGGAGGCAAATATCTTAAAAGGAGAACGCATCAAACTGCTCGATGTCTGCTCTGAATATCCTTTTGTCAACTTTAAATGCGCCTACGTGACTGGGCATCCAACGGTATACCTTGAAAATGACAACGCCATGCCCCCCATTGACCAGTGGAACGGTGCTGCACTTGTCCAAATTTTACCTCCAAAAAATTTGTTCTTGCCAGTTTTGGGGATCAAATGTTGTTCAAAGTTAATTTTCCCGCTATGCCGTACATGTGCAGAGTCTCAAAATCAGGGGGAATGCTCTCACGAAGACCCCCATGACAGAATGTTGACTGGCTCCTGGTGCACAATAGAGTTGCAGTTGGCTGTGAAAAAAGGATACAAAATATTAAAAGTGTATGAATTGCTTCAGTACCCTGGTACAAGGGTTTACGATCCCGTCACAAAAACAGAAGGCCTGTTTTCTTCATATGTAAGAGAAAATATGGCTCTAAAGTATGAAGCGTCAGGCTGGCCTTCACATGTCACTACAGAAGAAGAAAAAGATAAATTCATACAAGAAATATTTGAGAGAGATGGTATTGTCATAAGAAAGGACAAAGTAGAAAAAAATCCCGGGAAGAGGTTTATAGCGAAGCTTGTCCTCAACTCTTTCTGTAAGTATCCATTCTATTTAGATAAAAAATGAAAAGTGATTTCTGACAAAAGCACTGACCTTTTCTTATTTTTTCAGGGGGTAAAATGGGAGAGAGAACACTGCGTCCCATGACTGAATTAGTCTGCGACTACGGCCATCTCATCCGTTTGACACAAAACAGCGGAATTACGATCAACTCCATTCCAAGGGGAAATAGGCTCCAAAAATTTGTACACCCGAAGTCGAAGTTCATGAACTTCGGCCGAAGTTCACTGAAGTTCGGCCGAAGTTCACTGAAGTTCGCTTTGTAAAATTTTATCAAAGTTCACTGAAATTCTCCGAAGTTCACCGAAATCCATCGAAGTTCACGGAGTTCACCGAAGTACAAAATAAGCGTCGAAGTTCCTCGAAGTTCAAAATAAATGTCGAAGTTCTCCGAAGTTCAAAATAAATGTCGAAGTTCCGCGAAGTTCAAAATAAATCTTAGAAGTTCACTGAAGTTCAAAATATTTTAGTACATATTTACGGCTGCACTTAGCAATTTTGAGTGCTTACAATAAGCGAATCTCGAGCTTACTCTAAGCAGGTATCTACGGCCCGAATTACAAAGATTACATAGGAAGAATTTTGCTTTCATATCACTTGACCAGGTCGAAGTGCGCGAACTTCGGTCGAAGTTCCGCGAAGTTCACCGAAGTTCACTGAAGTTCACCGAAGTTCTCGAAGTTCACCGAAGTTCGCCGAAGTTCAAGGAAACGTACACCGAAGTTCAAGCCTATTTCCCCTTGCTCCATTCTTCCACTGAGCGAGGGCTGTCTTCAAGTCAGTTATACTCCCAAACAAGCAATGGATGATTGTCTCAAAACAACTTCACTGATACATGCCGCCCAGACAACGGCCCATGGACGTCTGCTTCTGTACAAATATTTAGACATTGTTGGGGAGAGAGCACTTTATCATGACACAGGTAAGTTAAATTGTGCGTAAAATTAAATGTGCATTTCATAGGCAAGCAATACTAACCTCACTTTTTGACATTTTCAGACTCTGTGTGTTTCCTATCGGTCCCGGGACAGCCCGAACCTGAGATCGGCCAATATCTAGGTGATATGACGGATCAATTAGCTGACGAGTTCGGAGACGGTTCCTACATCCAGGAATTTATTTCTGCGGGTTGCAAAAACTATGGCATGTCTGTGGTAATCCGAGGTGATCCTAAAGACATAAAGACCATCGTCAAAGTAAGGGGAATTTCCATAAACACTTCGTGTGACAATGTTGTTACATTTGATCGGCTGAGGGATATGGTTCTCTCAGATGAGAAAAAACTTACCACAGTAAACATACCATCACAAATCGCACGCATTCCTGGCTGGAGGATAGTGACGCGAGATGCTACAAAGACGTGGCGAGTATGCTTAACGAAGCGACGCCGAATATCTGGAGGGAGAACTGTACCTTACGGGTACCAAGACACGCTACTTGACGACGAAGACTATGATCTTCTCAATATTATGGAATCTCTCTATGACGAATAATTTGTGTCACAAGGACTTGCGCCGAGGCCTGTGGCCGTACACAGGCGTGCTACGAGTTGTCTGTATCTCTGCTGACATCGATGCGCCGGGTGCGATCCTGGACGGCGTGCTGCTCCCTAGCGCCGCAGCGCGACACTTCATGGACACTCTGCTGACACACGACATTAGCCATACGACCGACCGATCCAGGATGTGCTGCACTCATCTCGCGATGCGGACTGCCGCTGCACTGCTACGCCGCGCCGTGCGATCCCGAGCAAAATATTAAAGGACTCTCACAGACTCCAAATAAGAAACAGAGGACGGCAAGCGGAGTCGAGAGAAGGTAGTCGCTGTTTAAATCTAATATTTCTAGTCTGCAGTAATCTTTCGTGTCTTCTATGACAATATTATATTATCTTGAATGAAACAGCCATTGTACCTTGTATGTTTCGAAACAATAAAAAAGAAGATCCATTTTTCATCGTATTTTTATGTTACACCCATCCCGAATCCTGAAAGAGCGCAACACATTAGAGTTTACTACCCCAGGGAGGCAGGCAACCTTCCCTGTGCGCCGGCTAGGTAGGCAACCTGCAGTATACGATAGTACGTCGTGCGCGTGGCATCAGAATTTGCATTATTCGACAATGATCTCACGTCTGCAGCCCACCGAGCGCGGCAGCCATCGTGTTCTGGAGAATGACACAGAGTCCGAGCGCAAGTCTCGTGTGTAGCGCACAGTAGCCGCGGTCGCAGAGGTGACAGACGTAGAACTGTAGAGGTCTGCAGTCACAGGTTCGAGCCCAGGCCACGGCGCTGCATTTTGCATGACGTCACACCCCCACCATACCCGTACCCCCACCCCTCGAAAGGGATCCCCCACCATTCAACAAAGCTGGGGGCCCGCTACGTCGCGCGCGCCGCCTGACGCCTGGGAGGTAGGCAAGCGTTACCCAGCCCCAGTATTACTACTAATATGCATAGCATATATAAAAAATCATGAGGAGAAAATCAAGTCCGTCACACACAAGAGTAATGCTTAAAGATGGCAGCATTACTTCCATAATTAATTATATGTTAACTATTGGACAAACATCTTCCTGTATCTAAATATTTCCTGCATGCAAATGCACTGTAAAAAATATGTGTCGGAAAAATCCCATAAATGTGTCTGAAGCAAATTACATATACAGTGTGTAGGATTTTCCCTATACGACTGTGTGGAAAAAATCCCATACGCGTGCAGCAGATCTACGAGACAAGTGTAGGATTTTTCCTATACGAGTGTGTGGGAAAAATCCCATACGAGTGCAGCAGATTTCCTTGACAGGTGTGGGATTTTTCCCGTACGAATTTTTAAAAGGAAAAATGATATTTTTGGGG